GGTAGGAAATAGACAAATGATGAGCAGTTCCCAAGCACCATAACCACACACAGGGACAGGAAACATCCAAAGAGAAAAGGCTGCATTTCCAGAACACCTGTGAACCCAGAGGAAAGATTCTGTCCCATGTGTAAGATTTTGTTCTTCTATATTGTTTGGACACCTTTTGGGAAACGTAAACAGGGTTGGGTGAAAGACATAAACAAGCAAGCACTTACAACTCTGTTTATATTTTAATTCACACATTCACAAGTACTCACACCTGAAGTCCACACAACTTCAGCATTACTTCTCAGTTGTGACAAGCCCAGTCTTCTTAGAACTCTTGCATTACTGGTTTCTGTGACATTTATCTCCTATACACACCCCCTTTAGAGACAATCAACTGAGCAACATTAGTAGACTAAAAGCAGGAGAGATAACAAGTCCATGATGGCTCTGTAATATATTCTATTCTTTAAAGAAGAAAATACAGAAAAAAAATATCCATATCCTTTAAAGAAAGCCATTCTCATTAAGATAAAATTAGAAGAGTCAAATATACCTGGCTTTATTCCACAAAAGTGGTACAAAACTGCATTTAGAATGCTTGTGAACTCTCTGTAAGAGCTAGGACTGTCCTACCTGAACCCTAGGTTAAACTTGGTAGCTTGTCATGTGCCATTTGTCCCAGGGTTTTCATCATTCTTGGGTTTTCCATTTTCCCTTCTTTGTGGATAAAAGTGTTCAGTCAAATATGATTTATCTTTTAAAAATCATTTAATATATGACTCCTTTTATTAATCTTGATAGGTTTTAAATTTTGATAAATACACTTAGATTCCAAAAAACCTATGTTCTGGTTTGGATGTAATATGTCCCTCAAAAGCTCATGTATGAGACAATGCAAGAAGGTTTAGAGAACAAATGATTGGGTTACCAGAGCCTTAACCCAATTCGTCAATTAATCACCTGATGTGATTAATTGAGTGGTAAGGCAGGTGGGGTGTGGCTGGAGGAGGTGGGGCATTGGGGGTGTGGCTTTGGGGTGTATATTTGTATCTGGAAAATGGAGATATCTCTCTCTCTGCTTTCTGATCATCATGTGAGCTGCTTCCCTCCGTCTTCTACCATGATGTTCAGCCTCACCTTGAACCCCAAGGAATGGTGCCAGGCTTCTGTGAACTGAGACCTCTGAAACCATGAGCCCTTGAATAACTTTCCTCCAGTACAGTTGTACCTGTCAGGTCTTTCAGTCACAGCAGCAAAACACCTGACTAAAATAGCACACAACATTACTATCTACAAATGTGGTATCCATACACACTACACTTACCTGTCAATGAATAAAACATAATGAAATTATAAGAAAAAATCTTAAATTTTTCATTTAATATAGGCTTATTTCTATCAACCTATTAAATCTCACTATAAAGCAGAGGTAAATGATGAACCCTGACCCTTCCACAATCCAGAAAGGAGGCAGAGAAAAAACAGCTGACCAGAAATGTGGAGGACAGAGTCAATGCTCTAAGAGTCAATACTGGACAGTCTGAGGTTTGGAGA